TGTAGAAGGTGCATTTACTAAGGAAAAAAACAAGATTTGAATTCTCTAGTCATATTGATACATTGTAGTTTTTTTTAAATCATAATTTATTCCTGAAACTTTCACCTCTCATTTTTGTAAAAACTAAAATTGTTTAATCGTTTTTGGGATTTTCCGAGGTTAAAATATCTTTAAAACTGACGTTTCAACCAGTTTTACTGGTCTTCCTTGGGGTGTTTAAATTGTGGGGAATTAGTGAGGAGTCCACACTGTCACTGTTTTCTTCCAGAATTTATTGCTCAAAAAGCAGGTAGAACAAAGTTTCGCAAAGTCTCTGACTGACTAAAAACTACTCAATAATTTTCTTATCGCATGAACACACGTTGATCAAAACGTAAGGTGATTGGCTATAAAGTTCTTCCCAACAAAGAAAAACAAACTGATATATCGGAGTGGACAGATCGTGACACTCGATTTCTGGCATATAATTTCGAATCATTACAATACTAATTATCCCATTTCCGACAAAATGTTCTCTATATGGCAGATTGTTTAGTCTTTCAGCTTGGTGACCGCACATAACGTTTCGTGATTATTACAGGATGTTTAAACGATGTCAGATTGCGCGGGAAGTGTAGTCTGAGGTCTGTCAAGTACTTCTACTTTGGCGATAATTCACTGTCTATTACAGTCTTCTTTCATGATCAAAGAAGGAGTTTAGGACTGGTTTCCATGTTTCAACGTGGTCAAAATTGTTAAGGACTCTCATTCCGCAATGTTTCTGCCGTAGTGATTCAATTCCTTCTAGAACTTTTCTTTGCTTTAATCCTCTCTCTGTTCCTACGATCTCTGTGTTTCCCAAGTCAACATCACTTTGGCACTCCACGGAGTGTCATGGAGTGCCAAAGTGGTGTTTAAACAACCTGAGGGAGACCAGTAAAACTGGTTAAAATGTCGGTTTTAAAGATATTTTAACCTCGGAAAATCCCAGAAACAATTCAAAATATTTTAGTAGTTTTTTTTTTTTTAATCTGATTGGCAGGTGATTTTCGCTTATCCAAAGGAGATGCAAGGAGAATCTCATTCTTCCATACCAGTGAAGGGTTTGTACCTCCAACTTACCTTGTACTTGACTATACCATGTACAGTGCTTTTTCCACTTTTTGGTGACAGGTTGAGGCAATAAAAAATTTTAAAAATAAAGCAAATACTTTTAATATGAAGGACACCTTTTCCACTCATCTGTGTCTTCTTCAAGGGGTTGAGGCCATTTTCAAATCTTACAATTTTCTGAGCAGTATACACACCAAAGGTCACAAAATGAAGTTAGTGTATGTCCCAATGTAGTTCACCAACAAATTATTTGACTGTCGATCAGTGGACAATTCATCAGGCTGGAAAATTGTAAGCTCTTAGGCTTTAACACCCAAGAGTGTCCAAAGTAGAATTTCTCCAAGTATAATACCAATGCAATATCAGGCTAGTAATAAGACTAAAGAAAAATATTAGTTAAGAATTTTATGGCAGACAGTAAGGAGAAATGCTAGTGAAATCTTGGGAAATTGTGAAAAAGGCAAAGGAACCCTCAGAAAGTGCTTGAATTTTGTTTTGGCCTGGGCTATTATCAAAGTTTGAACAGTTTTCCCTAATCTGAGTTTTTTTTTTTTTTTCTTTTCTCAGCATAAAAGACATCAAAAGCATTTACGTTGACACAACATTTTGTCTGCCAAAAATGAAGTCCTTGCCAAGTCGGGTTTGTATTATCCAGTTTCCCCTTAATTGGTTATTTTATAAGCCACTACATGTACATCCATTCCAAATGCCTCAATTTTTTTATTCACATCACAATTAATTGTTGTATGGGTCAGTAGGAGATGTTATGGTGAAAAGCATAATACTTTCAACAATCAATTCTAGTCTGAGCCTTATCTAAGACACTTTACTCTCTTTTTTCCTCTCTCAAACCTGATTGGCACACAGGAAACACTGTGGCAAAGTAATTCAAAGATGACTGCTACCTCACTAGTGAACAGAACTGATGTATTATTTTTGAGTTAGATGCACAGCATACACTATATACATACAATTCAAAGTTTATTCATGCTTTTAAGAGAGGTTTAATTTTGGTGTAACGGTTGTGGTTTCCAAAGCGATTCATCAATTGTCTTAATGTTTTAAAATTGCAGCAACAGAGCAGAGAGGCTGTTATAAAACTCATGGACAGGTGAGGTGTTGGATATTTTTTGATATTATTGACATATCATTTTGGAATGCTCTCAAACAATTCAAGTGTTGGTCATTAATTATTGCAGAGGCAGGGTGGGGGGTCATTACTTATAATTTGGATATATCAACAAAGTTGAAATGGTAAATTGGCCACCGTAACGATTACAAAAGCTGCCGTTTCGAGTGTTAGCCCTTTGCTCCGACGCAGGGCTAACGCTCGAAATGTCAGCTTTTTTAATCGTTATGGTGGCCAATTTACCATTTCAACTTTGTTGATATATCCAAATTATTTTGTTACCCCCACCGACGCAGCCCCAAACAGTTTCTTTCGAAACTATCAGCCTTTGGGTCATTACTTAGGTTGGTTCACAGTAAAAATGCTGTTGTATTTTTTAAGATCCTCATCATTGGCAGTTATAATTTTCTTGTTTCCCTCCTCCCACAGCAGTAATTATTTATGAATAATGACTAGTACCTTAGGGGACAACCTTCACTTAAAAAAATCTTGACACTGTCAGGGCTTGACATTAACTTTTCAACTTACTAGCCAAGTGGCAAATGACAAGTTTAAATGTTACAACAATTTCATTTTGTTTACTAGCTAAACATGCTAGTGGAAATTGAAAACCACCAACCAAAACTGAATTTTCTACTAGTCTGTGGCTAGTTGGCTACCATTAGTGTCAAGCCTTAAGTGTGAAAAAATATATGTATTCTGTCATTTCCTTTTCATTTAAAGAATGCTTGAGAAGTAACTTTAAATGTAGTTCATAAACCATCAGATTTTTTCATCCCTATGTCACCAATTTCCTTCTTTTTTTTTAACCATGGTAAAATTAATAATGTCTATTTAACAGATGGTTTACCAGAGGTCCTGAATATGCCGTTAGCTTGTTATGCAAAGGAATGTGTGGATTTGAATATTTACTGAAGGAAGTAGCAATGAATTATAGAACGAAGGTGGGTTTTTTATTGTCTTTGTTATAGCTTTTGAACAGGTCCATATTATTTTTGCCTTGGCATTGTCAGCAACACGAGTCAGCAAGAGGTCTGCAAGGCATCAAGGCTGTGGTATAGCAGTGCCCGGTGGCCCCTGGCGTTTTACTTTTGCTCTTGGGAAACTCATGAATTTTAATTTTCTCATACAAAGCATATGCTGGGCACCCTGCATTTCACAGTTTCAAAGCACTGGGTTCCATTCAATTTTCCTTTAGAGCACAACCTTGAGGATCTAACACTGATATAAAATCCAACTGATCAGACCTGCATTAAGCCATCAGCCACAGGGAATGGCTTGGTGACGTCTTAATACAGGTTGACCACATAACTCAGGTTCCACAGGCTAGGGGGGGTGGGTGATAAAAAATGATACACAGTGCCATAATTGGCCACTGAATGTAGTACACAAAATCTTGCATTAAAATAATACTAATTCTGATTTTGGGAAAGAAACATGGATTAAAAAATTATTCAAAATTTTACTTGAGTGGTTGGGCCTTAAGTGACTATTCAATACTAAGAGGAAGACAATACAAACTGAGCCTTTGGGACCTAGTAAAGGGTGACCATGACTGCTTAATTTAATAGAAGTGAAAACTACAATGATTATGGGGAAACAAGTTCAGGACTATGGCAACCAAGTGCTTGATTCAAGGTGACAACTTAAATTATTGTGCCGCTTAATGCAGGTTCACCTGTATAATGACTCATTATTGGTGCCAGTCTCGGCAAAAATGGTTTCAGTAACACTTCACTTCCCCTCCTCTACTTTCTTCAGATAGTCGCTCCAATCAAATTTCGAGGTTGATGTACTCTGACGAACCTGGTCCCAGACCCTTAGGAGCCTCTCCCCAACTTGTCTCAACTTTTCCTGGAGGTGGAGAAACTTAATGGGGGGCCTGCCATAGGCTATCTTTCATTTTGAGCATTTTTCCATGATACAAGTATAGAGTGTTATGCATTGACGTTCTCTTAGTGTTGGTCTAGTTAGACTCTGATGTGTCTTGAAATCTTTTCCCTTGTCGCAAGATCCATGTCAGTTCTGAACGGCTTGATATGTACAGATATCTGCCAGACATGACTCCTTATTTCACAACTGATGGTGAATCTACCAAGATACATGCATGCAAGTGGCAGGTATGGCCAGAAAGGGCTCAAGACTCTTACAGGCTTTTAGTAATAAACAGTAGTTCCATGCTAAGTCAACCACTCTGAGCCGACTCTCACTCTCTACTTTCCATTACTCTTTTCAAATTTCACCCCTCTTCTCTCCAATCAAACTGCTTTCCCCTGCTCCCAAATAAGTCCGACTTTTTTTATCTTCAAAAGTACTTTATTTGTGTACAACATTGAATTAATATGGGCAGGGAGACATTTCCATTAGCACTCAAATTTGAAGTAACTTATAACACAGAGTTAGCCATTTGACATGTCTGCTTTTGTCTCCGATCCTTGGTGCAGTTTTATAAGCCTGGTTACCCATAACGGCTGAAGTGAACAGTATAAAAGAAGCAAGGGAGGGGGGGAGGGTGCAGGTCTTTGTCAAGTTTCCCAATAGCCTTATTTCACTTTTCTTGCATTCAATGTTCAACACCTTTCACATTTGTGTATCCTATGCACAATTCTAGGTTGGACAAGACGCTCAGCCATTTTTCAAGCCAGTCTTCCACCCCACCCCCTCCCTCCCCTTAAAATACTCTTATTCGTTTCCATGTTAAATTCCTCAGGCCAACCAAAGGTGTGACTCAGACCTCCCGTGTGGTTCTTCCGTTCACCCCTCTCTGAAGACAAAGGTTCTGCGGATTAAGCCAACAACTATGTGGGTTGCACATGGCACAGAACCCATGCCTAAAGACTTCAAAAGGTGAGAACAAATTTAAATACCGTTCCAAGCCTTATTTTACATCCTCCATAATCTTATCACCCTGTTATTTTGAACACATTTCGTGGCAGTTGCGTTGGCTCTGAAAAAAAAGTTCCGCTTCCACCGTCTGTCTTTGAAAAGGACAGTTGTGTTCGAGAAAAATCTTGCACGTTTTAATATTTGCAAATTTTCGAGACCGTCCTCGTTCTGCAAAAATAAGTTCCTGTTCATTAAAACCTTGCGAACATTTACTTACTCCAGTTGAATGAGAAATTCCGAGAATGAGGGAAAATCGCCAGTCCTCCAATTTTCACGCCGCACTTCAGTATGTGGCCTTAACAATGAACAAGCATTTCTCCCTTTCTGTCAGTCCCCTTTTCTTCAATTTCTTCCCTATCTTTCTGTAAGTTGTCGCGAGTCTGTGATACCTCGTAGTTCCTTTGCCGTTCTACGCAAAGCTCAGTACTCAGTCAAAATAAACAGGATCAGTTAAAATGAAGCACTTCTGGTGCTATCTTCACTGTTAGCGTTTGTCAACCGAAGACTTTTTCCATCAACAGATATGACAAGGGAAAAAAGCTATGGAGAGTTGTTCATTCAATGCATGCATCATTGGAAGAGGTATTCTTTTATTCCTTTTTTTTTTTTTTTTTTTTTTT